CGGTACTTTCCCTAGCATTCCAGATTTGGCCCTGATTTGATCTCTTGTACTACAAAAAAGAAAGCCGCCTTCTGAAAATCTGCCGAGTAGCACCCTTTCCCAAGTTTGTGTCTCATCTCCTGCATTAACAATGTTATGTAACATGATTTTTTAAAAAGCCAGGTGTAGTGGTGCACCCTTATAATACCAGCACTCAAGAGGCTGAGGCAGAAGGATCCCTGTAAGTTTGAGATCAGCCTGGGCTACATAGTGAGTTCAAAACCATCCTGAACCCCATAGTGATAAATAAATAGGAAAAAGAAAAAAGAAATATAAAGTACCTCTTTTCTATATGAATATGCATACTTGTAACAATTGTTAACATATTGCTGGGCATGGTGACATGCACCTATAATCCCAGCAAGTGAAGCTGAGGCAGAATTGCTGCAAGTTAGAGACCAGCTTGGGCTGCAAAGTGAGCTCAAGGTCAGCCTAAACAGCATAGCATGACCCTGTCTCAAAATTTAAAAAAAAAACCAAAAACCCAGAAGCTAACATGTTGATTTATTTAAAAAGGGTCTTTCTCAAAATTATGTATTTTAATTAAAGAATTTTATTAATGATAAGTGACATTTTGAAAAGTAAAAATACAAAGCATGAAATGATTTTACTGAATGCATTAAATATTAGAATACATATTCATAATACTCTAAACTATGAAACTAAGTCATAGCCTAGCATTTATTTAGGGAAATAATGTGGTCTTTAACCTATAAGATGATGTGATTCATGTCACAGAAAAAATAGACACAAACCTCATAAAAACATGTTTTTTAATATACAGCTATCAACATTAGCTACAAACTTAAAAAAAAAAAAACCCTCTGCCAAACATTTTCAAACTTTTTTTTTTTTTTTTTACAACACTGGGGATTGAACTCGGCACCCTGTGCTTGCCAGGCAAGTGTTTATTCTACTGAGCTATCTCCCCGGCCCCTTTTTCCCTTTTTTTAAAAAAAATGTATTTGGTGTAGGGTCTCATTATGCAGCTCTGATTCAGTGATCCTCCTGTTTTCAGCCTCCCCAGTGCTGGAATTACAGGTGCGCACCCCTACCCCTGGACTTGGTCACCAGCTCGGCATGCCCTGGGGGCAGAGCTAGGGGGTGGGGGGGACAAGAGATGGAATCCTGGTCTGTGAGGCCAACAACTTTTTAAAAATCAATTAATTGTTTGGTATAAAATGGTTTTCTTTCCCTTTGTCTCAAAGGTAGATTTCCTTGAAGCTGAAATGAGCTCTGGGCTTCTTTAATCACAAAGCCTGCCTACTTGGCAGTTCCTCTAGTTACCTCCTCAGGCAGCCTTAGCCAGTTCAGCCACATCTTTTCCAGCTCTTAGCTGCTTACTGACAACCAGACTTCTGGTTTCCTAGGAAACAGAACCTGAGCCGGAAAGATGGAATCATATCCAGGTCGCTTTTAACAAGGAGCGTGGAGCAGTGAAGTGTTGGACTGAGGAGGGTAAAGTTTTGTGTGTTAAGTTTCTGGGCAGACAAAATATACAACAATTATACAGAACACTGGGAAATAAAGCAGTATTTATTTACACTGCTGAAAGGCTGCCTTCTCTAGGAGTGTGCACAAACTGGAGACTGCGCCAGGAAAAATAAAAATCTTTAATATGAACACAGAATAGCTAAAGATGCCCACAACTCCAGAGAAAGCTTGAAGATGAAGTTCTTCTGATCTGGATCGTTCAGTCCTGCAGGGTGACTCCGCCCACAACCAACAGGAGGATGCAAGCAGCAGGTACCTAGCCACACTGAGCTCAGGCACAGACTCCAGGCCCCTCGAAGGTAAGAAGAAAAAAACCACCTTCTGCTTTACAGTTTTACAAACTGCAAGAGTGCAAGACTTGTATCCATATGCTTAATAAGATCTGAAAAACCAAGGTTAAAAAAAACCAAAACTCATTATCCTGCACATGGTAGGATGTTTAAGAGGTTAGAAATCATTACATCTGTGAAACACAGAAAAAGCATATTAAAATGACAATGACTTGGGCTGGGGAGATAGCTCAGTAGAATAAGTGCTTGCCTGGCAAGTGCAAGGCCCTGAGTTCAATCCCTGGTACTGGAAGAAAAAAAAAAAAAAAAGACAATGACTGCTAGCACTAGCTATCTATAATTAATTTTTAAAAATGGATTGGGTTCTAGAAATCTTAGGTTTTCATTTTGAGGGTCAAAAGAAAAAATGTCAAAAATACTGCTTTTTATTTTTATTTTTTTGCTGAAATTTCAAAAAAGATACAACTTTCTGTTCCATTTTAGTTTACCATTTTTTCCCATAATTTCTCATAAAAAAAAATTTTACTGAGAAACAAATAGCAATGAGACAGTTTCAAACCAAATTGGTAGAACAGTTTCAATAATTAACACATTGCACACATTCTTCCTAGTGGTTATTTGCTGTACAAGTAGTTTACCATTTTCCTAAATTTATAAATGAAAGGGGCCAATGAAATAGCTCAGCAGATTAAAGCACCTACACACAGGCGCAGGGGCCAGTAGTCTGATCCCCAGGCTTGCTGTGCCAGCCCTGCCCCTGGGGCTTGCTGATTTGGCAATTGAGATTGGGCATGGTGGCGCATGCCTGTAATCCCAGCTCTTGGGAGGCTGTAAACAGGCAGATCACTATGAATCCGATCTAGTAGTGAGACCCTGAACACCCTGTAGATTCTGCCCTAAAATATAATTTTTTTTGCGGAACCGGGGATTGAACTCAGGCCCTTGTACTTGCCAGGCAAGCGCTTATTCTACTGAGCTATCTCCCCAGCCCCTTAAAATACAAAATATTTAAAAATTAAAAAATAAATAAATGAAAGCACTAGATACACAAAATTGATAATACTTCATTAATTGTTTGGAAGAAAAGCTCCATTGTTGGAAGTGAAATAAAAATCAATGTAATAAGGGAATGGTTGAAGATTTAATAAACATTATGGGTCAGCCAGATAGCTCAATGGACTAAAGCGCCCCCTTAGGCAAGGCGCAGGGGTTTGATCCCCAGAGTGCAAGCTGTCCAGCCCTGCCCCCCGGGGCGGGGCATGCTAAAACAGCGATGGAGACTGGGCGTGGTGGTGCACTCCTGGAATCCTGGAGCTTGGGGGACTGAAAACAGGACAATCACTACAAGTCCAACCTGTGTTGACTGTGTAAACCCTGTAGACTCTGTACTAAATACATTTTTAAAAAAGATTTAATAAACATTAAATAAGGTTCAAATCTCCTGTGTGAAGTCCAACACTACATATACCACATACCACCAAGCAAAGGGGTAACCAATGGCAATGAGGTTTCTTCCACTGCTGAAGTCTCACAACTTTTATTTTTACAGAATTGCTCAAAAGTGTGGATAACCCCCACTGTCCACACATACCACCCACCTAGCACTGGGATACGAATATTTAGTGATATAAAACCTCAAAAGGAGGAAGCTGTGGGTAAACCTAACACCCAAGAGAAAACGACTAATATAATGAAGGGGATTAAGATGTGAATGAAGGGGATTAAGATGACAAACATTACAGATCAATCTGGATGAGCTGAACTTCCACGTTTACAGCTCAATCACAAATCATTGTGTTAACAAAAAATCCACTCTACTTACAAACATCCTTTGTACGTGACCCTACCCCAGATGTTGAAAGGATTCTGCAGTCACTACCAAGTTAAACACAGCCACAGTATTTTATGCAGTTCATCCCCTAGACTCTTTTATCATTTAGGTGCTTTAAATACTAATACAAGTCATGTAGCTT